AGGGTAAGTTATAATAATCGCAAAAAAATCGAAAATGAAATCTGTTATATATCTTTATGTTTCAAAGGTTTCTGAACATTTTGGCATACCTTAGAAAAAATCGATGTATGTGTGTGTGTATGTGTGCGGATACAAGTTTTCATCGGCGATTTCGGGCACACGGATCAACCGATTTGAATAATTCAAAAAACATTCGATTCGTATTGATAAGGAGACTTGCTGATTAGTTTTTGGCGAAGGCAGGTCTAGCCGTTCCAAAGATACGGGGCAAAAAGTGCCAAAAACGGTAACTCAGTTTTTAAGAGAACGGAGCGTCTGATTTTAATAATTTAAAAAACATTTTACTTGTATTGTGAAGGCAGGTCCAGCGGTTATGGATTCTCAATAAAAATAAGTTAAAAATATGCCGTTTGGCGGTCAAAAATATTTATTGGGCATATGTACATCAAATCATCATGATATTTTATATATTTTTATGGGTTCCGTACAAAGATTTTTAATTACGGTAAGGGAAGTTCCAGCAATTTGCATTAAGGCACGATGCCATGCACCCCACTAGTTTTTTTTTATTTTAAATTACTGTACGGGATGTTTCAGCAATTGCCTTAACACACGATGCCAGTATCACTAATTCTAATTTTTTTCACCCTGCTTCGGCTTTGACGTTGAGTTCTGGGACACCCTGTATATATATATATATATATATATATATATATATATATATATATATATATTATATATATATATATGGAGGTGTGGTCCATATTAAATACCAAAATGATAGACAATGATAAATTTCATAAAATATTATTTATATTTCGTTTATTTTATATATGATTAATATCCACGACACTATGTGTTGTCATACTGATCATTAATAAAACGTTATTGGTATTTTCTTATTTATAATAGAAAAGAAAGGTTTCAAGAATTATACATTTTTTTTGGCAAAAACTACTAGAGAGAAACAAAAGCCGTGTCCGATCTGACACTTGAATTTATTTTTGTTTTTTTTCTGTGCTGTCAATATATGGGCCAATCTGTCCAGTAACATGTGATGCGTGTTGACAAGCCGCGATGCGTGTTGGCAACCCGCTACATCACTCCGCCCTAATGAAAAAGATTGTTTCGCATCTCTGACTGCCATTCTTGAACTTCCTTGTAAATTTCTTTTGGTTGAGATTGTGTGATAAATTGCCGTGTTGGCTTGTTGAGTTTGTTGATTGCTTACGTGGCCCTTCGCTGGTGAGTTAGCGGTTGAGTACATGTGGCCCTTCGCTGGTGAGTTAGCGGCTGAGTATATTTGACACTTCGCTGGTGAGTTAGCGGTTGATTGTATGTGGCCCTTCGCTGGTGAGTTAGCGGTTGATTGTATGTGGCCCTTCGCTGGTGAGTTAGCGGTTGATTGTATGTGGCCCTTCGCTGGTGAGTTAGCGGTTGAGTGTATGTGGCCCTTCGCTGGTGAGTTAGCGGTTGAGTGTATGTGGCGGTTGCCAAATTGTTTGCTCCCTGTCTGTTGCCATGGTGCTTATTATCGACTTATTTACCATGATAATAAGTGATTTATTGAGCACGTGTTATTGTTGATCTTGAAGTGCGTGGTCGGGGTCTCAGTTGTAGGATTAGAATGTTCTTCTAGTTATGGCGGTTGTGAGCCATTTATAATAATTATTTATATTTTTAAAAATTCTTTTCTTAGTAATTCTTGAGACTTCAATTTATTTTTTTTTGTGCTACTTCAAAATATGTCTTGATCTTCTTACCTTCTTGTATGTGTGTTACTAGTTCACTCTCGGGGTCACCAAAATATGGAGGTGTGGTCCATATTAAATACCAAAATGATAGACAATGATAAATTTCATAAAATATTATTTATATTTCGTTTATTTTATATATGATTAATATCCACGACACTATGTGTTGTCATACTGATCATTAATAAAACGTTATTGGTATTTTCTTATTTATAATAGAAAAGAAAGGTTTCAAGAATTATACATTTTTTTGGCAAAAACTACTAGAGAGAAACAAAAGCCGTGTCCGATCTGACACTTGAATTTATTTTTGTTTTTTTTCTGTGCTGTCAATATATGGGCCAATCTGTCCAGTAACATGTGATGCGTGTTGACAAGCCGCGATGCGTGTTGGCAACCCGCTACATATATATACATTCAGATATATAATTTTCCTGTTGTATCCTTAAGGGACCAAAACTATAGTGAAAACTTCATCAAAAATCAAGGACAAGGTAATTACAAAACGAATTCCCAGCATCATTCCGTTTCTGATCTTGGGAATACTTCTACGCCTGGGTTGCTATTCGCGATAGAATTTAAAAATAAAAGCTCATATGTGAGCTTTCGATTCACTTGTAATTCTGAAATGTAACTAGTAATATATGGAATTGTGTTTTATAGCAAAATCTTGTAACTTTCCCTACTATAAAAAAATATTTGAATAACATTCGAGTGAAACGTGTGAGTGTTGTCATACTCCTTTAAAATTTAGAAATCTTAAAAAAATGTACATGTGAACTTTTGATTTATTTGAAGAGTTTGAAAATCGGCCTCTTTGATTTTTTTTAAACTCAACCTTTTGATTTTTTTTAAGGCTTAATGGTTTAATGCATAAGTTTTATTATGTTAATATTTTTTGTGTCTTGTTTTCTTAATATTGGTTTTAAGTAGAGAAGTTATAGGCGTTTGGTTAAAATAGAGAAACTTACAGGACTATAATATTATATACTTCCATACATGAAATTACTTTTACCTACGCTCTTCAATACTTCCATGTGTGTATTTTACATATTTGCTGATATTGAAAGTTTTCATATTATCTCGCTATATCGAACATCTTATGCAAACATCTATCAAGCTTTAGATATAATAACAATTTAACTTCTTTGTTGTCAAAGTGTTGTTAATTCGAAAAGTTTAATGTTAAAGACGATAAGCGTCATTTTATACTTCCAAGAAAAAACATAAGGTTATAAACTTTTGTTAGTGCAAAGTGCGAGTTTATTTATGCGCAATTACTTATGACGTATATTATATATCGCTGAATATTTGTAAACAATGATAAAAGAGACTAACTAAATTACTGCCACAAATTAAAAAAAAAGTTGAAGAAAAATTTTAAAACTACAAGTTTTCATAATTTTGAATTATTGATTTTTAGTGTTTTAGTATTTTCCAAAATTCCGATTTTCGACATTATTGTTTTTATATATGTATTTATATATATTAACAAAAAGAGACTAACTAAATACTGATACAAATTTAAAAGAAAATGTGAAGAGCTAGTTTATATTGATTTGATTAAATTACAAGCTTTCATTTTCCATACAATTCATATAATGAATTTAAAATTTTTGATGAATTTTTAATCAATACATTTCTGGAAATATTTATAACAGAAAGCGAAGTTGTTGTTTATATTATATAAAGAAGAAGAACCAAACAAATCATTGCTGCAAATGTTACATTACAAATTTTCAAAAATGTTTTATGTTTATATGATTATATTGTGAAAATTTTAAAACAAATTTTCAAACATTTTTGATGTTTATTTGATATAGTAATTTATTGGCCCATGGTGTTAATTCAAAAATCAATACATTTTTGGAAAAAGTTATAATAGAAAGCGAAGTTGTTGTTAATAATTATATAAAAAAGAAGAACCAAACAAATCACTGCAGCAAGTTTCACTTTACAAATTTTATGTTTATTTGATGATATTGTACTTTTAGGAAATTTGATCTGCAGCAATACATGTTCTTAATAAAGATCTATTTAATAGCAGCAATGCAAATAAGAAATTTTTTTGATCAGGAATATCCAAAAAGGTGGATTCGACGATCGAGCGCTATTACTATCAGGATAATTGTTTTAATTTGGGCTTTCTCAAAGAGAAAGTTTATTCAGCCCATTCCAGTTCCAATAAATCAACACTAAACTAGGCCAAGATTATTTTTGCTTATTTGTGTAGAATTCGATAAAAATGGCGTCAATATCTCCGTCAAAAGATGTCCACAATCCATATCTGATCAATTTACAGTGAAATTAGAAATTTACCAAGGAATATATCAATCTGATAAAAATATAATGTTCTAACTTTGCAGAAAAATTAATATAAATCAACGGCTTAGTATTTGGCAAGATCAGTATTATAAATTTTTTTTTAAATTAATGGATTATGTAGTTTAATTTTTTATACAAATTTTGAAGACATTAGAAATTGAGAAACAAATATATATTAGGAGCTACTGCTTTTAATTTGAATATGAAAATGTAGAATTCCAACTTTGCAGAAAAATTAATATAGCTGATAATCATCGGCTTTGTATTTGATAAGATCAGTATGATTAAAGCTTTTAAATAAATGGAATATGCATTTTTGTAACCATTTTTTTATAGAAATTTTAAAGATAGTTGGAATTGAGAAATTGATATGGAAATATAGTAGTAAATCTGCAAACTTTGCAGAAAAATTATTATTGATAATCAACGGCTTACTAAAATTTCTCAAATAATTTCTATTTGCTTCTCGACAACTAAATTTCATATCGTAATTGAATTGTGAAATCCAGCGTCTTGACATATCATAGTGTTACAAGCATATGTTTCCAAATCTAAATTTAGGTGTAATTAATTGGTAATTAATTCCGTAAATAACACGCAGTGACTTGCAATTGACTGATCGTACGTCAATAACATTTTTCGGTAATTAAATGAGAAGGACACACTCGTATTAGGATTCTATTTCCTTGGACGTCTTTGGGGGTTCTCGCGTTCATACATCGGACACGTGTACGCGCCTCGTGACGCTACTCACTGTTTTAATGATGACACTGATGAATATTCAATGCATAAGCATTTACCATTCCGCTAATGTCATTGTGAGTATATTCAATGGTAATTTCAAATGTTCCATTGGTTGCGTAAAATATATAACATGCATTTATATTTTGAGTGGCCGTTTTTTACTTCTTCAATATCGTAAGCCGCATTACCGGTATCACTACTAGTCTGCGGATCGCACCGGTCGGCCGTAACCAAGAACAGAAAAGACAAGACCGAGCAGTGCGAGATGGCTCTCTTGCTGCGAATGGCCTGGGATGGCTGGAACTATCTGCACGAAGAAATGGCCGGTGAGTGGATTAATCGGATACTGGATTTTAAGGGATTAAGTGCAAAAAATAATGGATACATGCAGCGGATAGTGAAAAATTGTGCCAGAGAATCATAATCATAAAAAGTGATAGTCGGTCAGAGCAAATCTCGAAATTGTAGTTTTTTTTATTGACCAAGTGTATAAACCTGAGAGTGCACAGAACTGATATTTACTCTTGCTACCCTTCACAAATCTAAATACCAAAAAACCTAAAATATTTTCATTCAGTGCAATTTCACCAAACCTTTATTACAAGCATACTTTACTTCCCCGTTTTCCTTTAATCTTTGTTAAAAACAAACCAATTTTCTATAATTTAGCGATAAATTTTTATTACCTTATCAGTAACATTTCTAGTGACAAACACAACGACACCAGGTCTACGCGATAAAATTTTATCACAGTCTCAATTACTTCCTTCAAGGGCACTAAAGTTGTATTTTATTTTGCAGATCCGCGGACGTCAGAATGGCCGTTTATTGGAAGTTTATTTGGCATCGTAGGCATTTTGTCAGTATATCTATTATTTATTTTAAAATATGGCCCAGCCTACATGAAGGACAGGCAACCTTTCAAATTAGAAACTATTATGATGGTTTATGATTTAGTGCAAGTAGTCATATGCTTTTACATTTCTCACAGGTAAATATAAATGAATATATATAAGGGTTATGATAATAATAAATAGTAGTCTGCTTGAAGGCAGGTCTATGGTATGAGAGCACCACAATCAATGATTCCCTTTTCCTACCCTGTTTATTATCTCCTTTACCATTTTATTATCATTAATCACTGTTATGAATTTTCCTTTTCAAACATCTGTTTCCAGGCTTCCTGATCCTGTGGTGCCGCTTTCAGTTCCCTGTATTTTCTCTTCTTTGTCCAGTCCACCTCGGAATTCGAGATACCCAACTGCAAGTCTGTAAATACTTGTATAATGACATCCTAAAGTTGTCTCAAAACCTACATATGGTAGGGAGTCAATACCATATGTAGGTTTTGAGACAACTTTAGGGTGTCAATATACAAGTTTTTATATTGTATATTACTTGAATTCTGAGATTCTTACCTAATTAACTTCCTGGAGGGCAAGTTATAGTAATCGCAAAAACATCGAAA